TCAGTACTTCCACTTTTACCAGAGTATTTTTTAACACAAGTATCTGTACTTTTACTCAAGTACGGAAAGTGAGTACTTTTGAAATCTCTGCCAACGGACCGGTACCGGTCCACGGCACGGTGGTTGGGGACCGCTGCTTTAGGTGATTATATACTTTGCAAATGACCGTTGGCTGCTCCGTGTCGGACTTCTTAAATTAACCTCTTTGTGGTAAAAGTACCTCATCTTGGGCTGTCTGCATAGACGTTTCTGTTTGTTGCAGCCACAGGTTTAAGTGGTTGCAACAAACAAAGCTGAGCTCTCATGAGTTAAGTAACAGAAAGCATTTTGCAAACCCTCATGTGAGTCAAAAGCAGTAAAGCAGCATCATGTTGCAAAACCACAAGACGCTGCTTCTTTGTAGATAAAAAAAAAATCTCTTATCACCTATATAAGCTGTGTGTAGGCTACGTGACGGCACTAGACTACAATCATACATTTGTCGTAGTCTACCTTGGGCAATATTTGCTTGAATGCCAGATAAAATGGTGTTAGAAATGAAAGAATAGAATTAGCAATATAGACACTTTTCTATCGTCCGTACGATATGTATCGTCCTATCGCCCAGCCCTACACAAAATGGCATAACTCTCTTTCCTTCTATAAAAAAAAAAACAACCTTTGGATGCATTTCTTTGAGCTCTGTTACTCCTACAGACTCATAGACATTGTTATGGACGGGCTGTTTCATAGTGATATGGTTCTGGTATTAGCCAGGCCCACTCAGCTTTTAATAGTTTTAGAGGGATATTTCCTGTTTAGGAGTTCTTCCCCAGCGTGGTCTCCTTAGGAACAACGGGCCACAAGAGAGACGGTCGCAGTCTCACAGTCTTGTGTCTTAGCAGAGCAAAATATTTTGCTCCACCAATGTTAAAAATTAATATCATGGCTTATGACACAACAAAAGTGACATAATGCAGTCAGACTGGAACCTGTCTGGTTTTTATTTCATTTTTTGATAAAAGAACGGAAGGCTGACTGAATATTCAGTAGCAAACTGGCCTCCTGTTAGGTACCATGCTGGAACGCACTGCAGCCTCCAAATGTTTGCAGAAGCAGTGCATCCCTAGCTGAAGTGTTTTATACACTTTGGCTTTGAAATGTTTTGAAAACTTGAGATGGCAATGATTTGGTAGGGAGAGTGTATATTTTTGACCTTGTTGTTTCTGATAACTGGTAGCTGTTCATATATTTGCCTCATTAGTGCTCTGCAAAGTTATGCATATGTTAAAGGAATAGTACACCCAAAACATGA